TAGGGTCAATTTTCGTCGGAAGGTATCAAGATGATAAACAGTTTCATTGGACTAAATTCTTGCTTATGTTAACCACCTGCTTACCTAAGATTATACTGACACTGGTTTCAAATGAAATAACTGACAACTTTGGTTGTATCAATGTATTAATAAGTACAGTACATAAATCTATGTCACAAATACGTATGTAAAAATGCACAGGGACATCACGCTGTTTTTGTTTTTGTATTTTTCTTGAAATCTCTATGCCTGATCACCATCATCATACACGGTATAATGGATCCCAGCAGGATCCCCTCCCCCTAAACGTTCCAACCTGTGTGTTTCATAACAGATTTTTTTTCACCTGTCTGTTCATTGTATACGGTGATGCCGTGTGGTAAGGGGTACAGCAGACGACACGAGTATCAGAATTTTGAATCTAGTTTTAAACGATGGAGGGAAGAGGGCCAAGCCAAAAAACAGGAGAGAATCAAGTTCAGTGGAAATAAACGCATCATTTTATGCACGTCACTGATGTTGAATACGCATAGAATGAAGTGATTTCAAAACTTTGCTTAAGGTAGGACTATTACATTTTATTTTATTTTATTTTATATATAGGATTATTATATTTTGTATATTTTATATTTCTGATATTTTTTATTAAATTTAGAAAAAGGAAAATTGACATTAAGTATTACAGTGGTATACTTTATGATTGATGAGAGTGTAGGCTTGTGTGTGACAATGACAATTTTACGTTTGGCCTAGGCCTATATTCAAATTTCTGAATAAATATTATGTTTCATTATTTTATTTGAATTTGAACTTGTAAAACCAAATGCTGCCCTCTTTTTTCATACAAAACTGGTGGCGTGGGAAGATCTTTTGAATTCTTATTATATCTCTATGGTTGAGAACCCACTGATTTCCGGTATGATCGATGATGATGATGGAGTTAGTGATTGGTCTTTGTAATCGCTCCGCCTACTTTTACACCAATGGCCATGCTCCTTGTTAGATCAATCGGATACAATATCTTCGCAGTCACAATTTCAAAACTTAATCTCTGTTGATGTTCTTGAACTTCAAAATCGAAGGTGGATACCAATCCGTAACTTCGTCAAAGGTAATGCTAGTATTATTGTACTGATTGCTAGTCCGAAATTATGAATAATTTGTTAACCGCAACCTCAATTAAGTTAGGCTAGGCCTAGGCCTGCATGTCTAGTAGGTAGGCCCAGCCCAGGTCCTAGACCTAGGCCTCTCTATCTGCCTGCCCTCAAGAAAGGAGGACTAGCCAGAGCTTAGACCAGGCCTAGGCCTACCTGTCCAGCTGTAGGCCGAAGCTAGCCTACTGTAGTACTAGCTATCTCCCTGGCCTAGCCTAGGCTAGCTAGGCCTAGGCCTACTTCTTAATTTATAATGTATTAAATATTGATTTAGAAACTAGGCCTAGGAATCCAGGACTAGGATGCATTTTTCACCAAGCCGCAGCCCAGCCATGCCGGGGACCAACATACCCAGCCATATGTAGATTCCTAGGGTGGTCAAAGCCTAATTTTCGGTAAAATTTGCCCGGAAGTCTGTAGGCTCCAGGGAGTTGCTGTATCAGTTAAATTATTTTGGTGCTCTGCTATGTCTGTGAAGTTGGTTCTAGGCCTAGTTCTTTCTTTTATTCAAACTAAATTAAAAGGGACAGTCGCAAAATATTTTAAAATGTATTTTATATAGTATTTTGGTCATTTTTCTTGTATAGATAGAATATCCTTGACCCCTGCCACCATAGTTCTGTGATTTAATTTGCATATTCACTTTTGAACTTTACAAATGCCTTCCCCCAGATGTGTCGTGTAAGTGGAAATATTTCGGCGTAGTTTTTACCATGGATTTATAATGATGAATCACCGACCTAACAGCCTGAATTTGACGGAGAAACCGAGTGGCAGTCAATATGGCCGCAAGGTTGTTAAGTTACCGTTGCCAAAGAAGAGAAGCAAAGCAGTACCGTTATCAGAGCGGGTAAGTACAAAAATGAATGAATAAAGATGAACCTAAATTTTCAAGTTATTTATGTTATTTTTTTTTATTGTGGTTGATATTGAATTGTCACATCGCTGTTATTGCTATTAGTATTACATTTATTACATTGTACATCTTGCAAAGGACCTCATGATCTGTAACCGCAGGGTAACAAGGGCTGCATGGAGCAGTTAACTGGCGTAACCCCCTACTCTCCTCAAAAGATGTACAGTACTGGGTTCTTTAAAGTACACACGATGAGCCAATTGTGTACACTGGTCCTACAGTTAATTATAGTCCTTATTCGATGCAGTATGGAGACTTTAAAAAGCAGGCAAGAAGTAGGAATAATACCAACAATGAAATGGTGGGGGAGGGGGTGTCGTCAAAAAATCTTCTCAAAATATGAGTCGTCTTATACGCGGATCGCCATATACGTGAGTATAATATACAGTAATTACTTATTAGATATCAATAAAATATTTTTATAAATAATATTTATAATACTAATTTAACATATAACGGTAACATTATATTTGATAATTATAATTGATAGATTAATAAAATAATTGAATTGGTTAGTGTTGGATTTGTGTTCATTTTACTACAAGGGTTTAGCCAGAAAAACGAAATAAGCCATCCAAAATGGAAGCCAGTGGGCGTGGCAATGAGCCGATGGGCGGGCCACGCCCATCTTTGGGAATCCCCACCGAATATTGGTACGAAAACATCGCACATTCAATCAGTAAATGTTGCTTTTATCAAATGTAAATATGATTTAGCTTTAGTTTAATATATCATTTGATAGATTTGAAGAATATTGCTATTAAAGTAGACCCTAATTAGTCTATTAGATATCAATAAAATATTTTTATAAATAATATTTATAATACTAATTTAACATATAACGGTAACATTATATTTGATAATTATAATTGATAAATTAATAAAATAAATTGAATTGGTTAGTGTTGGATTTGTGTTCACTTTACTACAAGGGTTTAGCCAGAAAAACAAAATAAGCCATCCAAAATGGAAGCCAGTGGGCGTGGCACTGAGCCGATGGGCGGGCCACGCCCATCTTTGGGAATCCCCACCGAATATTGGTACGAAAACATCGCACATTCAATCAGTAAATGTTGCTTTTATCAAATGTAAATATGATTTAGCTTTAGTTTAATATATCATTTGATAGATTTGAAGAATATTGCTATTAAAGTAGACCCTAATTAGTCTAGGTCAAGCTGATTAGGCCAAGCCGTCCAAGCCATCTTGGTAAAAGTGGCCGTCCTAAATAATTGTAGGCCGTCCAAGAGACGGCTGGATCGCTCGCTGGCTAAGCCTATGCTTTACTATTTTTAAAAAAATTATTTTTATTTATTTATTTTTTTTAACCACAATTATAAATAAAAATGACTAACACTAGCAGATCATTACACATTATGTGGTAATAGTCAACAGTATTTATTATAGGGATACCCCATCCATGTAAATATCTAAATAATCAGGCCATTGATTAATATTGCTGACTATTGTTAAAAGCTAAACACGCTCAAAAGGAATTCCACAATGATGTGGGATATAGGCTTTGTTAAAAAGATTGACTTTACTGAGATTGTTAGTCATTGTCATACCTATACGATTGATATTCATAACAGCTGCTTATCCATGACTTTATGTAAATCACTGAACAGTAAAATATTTTACCAACGTGGTAGGTACTTAGCTGTATTGATTGCATTTTCAAAATAAATTTTGTATAATATTAATACTCGCTTGTTATAGCTTTTGCTGTCATGACAGCTACGTTTAGTGTCTGATTAATTCTGGTCATGTTAATACTCCTTTTACTTACAAATAAAATGAAATATCACTGGTTAATTAATGAAATAAAAAATGACATAAAACTAAATTGAGAAATATTGAAAATTTAAAGAATGTAAGTATATAAATTATAATGGTATCTAAATAAATTTTGATTTAGAAATTCATGAAATTCATGGTGATAAACACAACCACATAACTTCAACCATTTAAAAAAATTGTTTTTGTTATTTAACATGAAGTATTATATTATTTAATCTTAAAAACAAATTGCTTATTATGGAATTTTGTCCCTAATTAGGCAAAAAAAAAAAAAAAACTCCACCATTGGATATTTTTGTCTCTTCCTGCCTTATCGAAATATTTTTTAAAAGATTGGATATGGAGTACCGTATTAAAACATCTGTCTTTTAAATTTAGACGACATTAATACAGTAATCTGCCGATTACATCACGATTGGTACTCAGATTGAACTTATGGGTAGAATGAAGATTGTACAGTACTGTGTACCATTAACAATGACTACTGTACAGCACTTTTCAATGATATTGATGAGATGTATTTTCCATACAGATATTTATAATTTATCTGTCTTTAACTGACAGTGAATGAAATGAACAAACATGAAGATGACAGTAATTGGAATTTATAATTATTATGTTGATAAAGTTTAACATTCTTCAATCAATTACACTCACTACTAATTGGGTATGTTTATGACATACCACGATGCAGTAGAGTTATTTATACAGGTGAGGTTTAATGAGTTATCAGCAAGCTTGTTTTTAATGGTTTTAGGATGGTGAATATTACATTTCTGTATTCAAAATAGATAAGGCATTTGAAATGGTATGTTGTACACCTGTACATGAACAATTTTCAGTTACATTATTTACCAAAGAAAGTGTACTACATGCTACAGTAAGATATTGACATCAGGTTGTTGATAATTATTGGCATGAACATATTACAATTACATAGAACAGCCAATTTCTCATTAATATTGCATTTTACAAGCTAGAGTTCCTTCCAAGTTCATTTATTTTTTTAACAGCAGTGAAGGCTACCACAAAAGTATAATACATACTCTAAGTATTGAAATGCACGCCATCGTGTTAGGATTCAATATTTCAACATTAATTATGTCATCATCAGGAATACTAACAATACAAGGCATTTTTTTCCTGGAACAATATAAGAATACTAGCTAAAAATATCAAAATACAGATTGCATCTGAGCAATAAAAATATGGTAAATAGATAGAGCTAATCTAAAAATAAATCTATAACAATTTTTTTGTTTACCATCAAATCTGTATGTTATCTTTATAGAACACACTATACTGTAATTAGCTAAATGTGCGTCAGTCTTACAGGTAATTGATACTGGAGCCAGATTTTCATAATAGTGTAAAACTGGTTTCAGTGAACCTGAAATGTTTCTTCCGAAGGTATATTAATTACAATAATCAATAGTTATGGTAATATTAATAGTGAGAGCTTATTGACAGGTGTCAAGAATGAGGAAATGTACATGTGGCAACAATTTATATTTAGTAAATTGATGGGCCCTGAACATGTGTATTATATGTATGATAATGCAAAATATGAAAAAAATATCATCAAATTCATTTTTGAAATTATTTGCTCATTTGGAATAGCAAAAATTATCCAGATTCATATTCAACTTTATTTGTGCAATATGCAAATAGCTGTGGTATATTTTTAGATCATTAACATTTTATAAAAAACATGGAAACATAAAAATTATTGCGTTTGAAAATTGTTTACACATAACTACAGCGAAAAATGATAGAAACACTTCAGTCACTGAAAGGGTTTTATTATTTATAAATGTTATCTCTGTATAAAAATCAGGGTACACATTTTTTGAATTGATAATTTCTATGCTCAAATTTATAATTTGTGGGTTACTGCAAAATGAGCAAATTAATTTCAAAATAGGTTTTTTTTTTTTTTTCATTTTCAGGGGACAGTAGTAGCAGTGTTTTTAGTGGAAGAAAATAGAAAATTTATCTGTTCTACAGTACTTAACTGTATGATGAATTTATTGAATATCTCAATCAGTTAATTATTTCTTCAATGTCAAGGTTCATGGGTTCATGATTATTTTATCAAAGTGCCATTTAAATTTGTTCCAAACTCAGCCTCTGAAAGAACAGAGTAGCTATTGTTCATCTATTTTCCTTTACCATTTTATTAAAGGTTAGGTATTTTGTTGGGATACTTGATTCACAATGCTCGATTAACTCAAATAACAAGTCTATAAAGTTGGATTTCAGGAATTCTCTTTCTGTACGAAAAGGAATTATTTAATTGGAAAATCAACCTAAAATAGTTGTTTGTATGACATGTGGTTTATGATCATATGGTGTGAGCACACATGTGCAACTCATGACATTACAAGCAAATTTGAAAAATTGTACACGAATCCCCTCTGAATATATACTAGCTAACATTGGGGTAATACGAACATGGATGTTATTATCTTGCAAATGTACAAATTTAAGAACTTTCATGAGTTTTGCAATTTCACATTATTACTTTACATTAACCAACACAATAATTACTGTTTGAAAATGCCGCCAACTACTGGTTTTATTTTATTTTACACCCAAATAAAAAAAATCTAATTTTACGAACAAATTGAAGAACAAAATATTAAAAACTAAGTATTCACCTACAAGTAGTGGCAATAGAAATTATTACATAAAAATCTGCTCTTTATAAATGATTAGAAAGACAAAATATAGAAACCACAATTTACCATTGAAGGGCAATTTATGAAGTAACATCATGGAGAGGGAAGGTACCCTGTACGGTACCTTATATCAGTGTGATTCAAGGGTCATATAGAATTTTTTCTGAAAGTTCAAACCACTTTAGCAATTTTGATTTGAGTCTCATGGGTAAAATTAAAGTCATATCTATGAGTAGAATAGCTTCCTGTAGATCATTTCATGTTCTGAAACATTTTAGAAAATAATTATAAAGAACTTAGAAACAAAGTTGTATTTTGAATCAGTGTGGTAACTTCAGGACACATAAGTCTAAAGATTTTAAGTACTTACACCATGAAGTCTGGTACCAATGAAATCTCTCAGTGAATAATAAAATAATATTTGAATAATAGAATTCAATATTTTTATACTTGGTAATTTTTTTATTTAGTATTTATAAGGCCAAATTAAATTGATTGCTAGTTAATTAACTTCGTGTCCTCACCCTCATGAAATTTTGGAGCTTCATTAAAAATTGACTACTATTTAAAAAAAAAAAAAAAACATTCATTTTCCATCTGAAAGACTGTGTCTAGCCTAAAACGGGTGAGAACATAAAGCTGGTTACTCACTGTGTGCGATGGCGACGCGACGAAGAATGCACACGAAGACACGGACCGAACGGATCGTCTTTTTAATGAGGATCGGTTCCGATTGCCACTGACAATCAGCAGGCGGCATTGCGTCGTCTATCGCTCGTCTGAAGCAAATGTGGATTCGTCGTGCGACCGTCGTATTACGCAGTGAGTGTCCGGCTTAAATGGCAGAAATATATTACAAAGATTCATTTTATTTCCTTTATTTAAAAAAAACAAACTATTTTTACTGTTTAACATTATTATAGGATAGTAAAAAGCAAATAGTAAATACCATCACCAAAAAATAATTTCAAATCCCAGATGTGAAACTAACAATTAATTTTATTTGGCCTAAAAATCAATTTTGGAATTATATTGGGTTTTTTTCTATATTGTAGTCAGTATTTTTTTACAAAAAGTATTTTAAAGTTTGATAAAATAATATATTCTTGTTAAATGTTGTAGGCCTATTGATTCCTATAGTATTCTTTTTGATACTAATTTATGAATGTTCGACTAATTAATTTACAAAGCTGTTTGTGATCAGCTGTGCATTATTGATAAGGAAGTGCATATTTATCCAGTACAGTACTGTCATACTAATGGCTTTTTGTGATGATTAGTGCGGACACACTGCAACCCTAACCTATTATGGATAGGCAAATTTGAGCTACTGTAAAACATTTTGTATCAACCTAGAATGTATAAAATGAAGCTTAGGTTCACTCTGAAATCATTATCTATAATTTATTAAATTCAATTTATTCAAGAAAACCTCTGGGACGGAGAAGTAAAAAAGAACAACAAGGTACAACAAAAAAAATTCATTAAAATGGACAATTTCATTATAAGAACCACAACAATAGAGATAAAAAAAACATGAAAAAAGTTTACAAATTCTTGAAAAAGACCAACAAAATTTAATAGGTGACTATGAAACATCCCCTCTTCCTCATATAAAGTTTCCCTCAGATTGGCACAATTATTATAAAGCTTGTCATTATAACTATACCGTGATGACGTATATTAATAGGAATCACAATCTGCACTTCCAGGTTTTAATGTGGAAGCCTATCTGTCAAATTCACGGAGGAAATTTATGCTAATTTACTTCTTGATTTAATACTATGAATCATGCAGTTTATTTTCTAGCCATCTCTCCCTTCAGTGTTACTTAAGGCGCGAGCATGCACGGTTGAGTTATTTTGATAAGAGCGGATTGGGGGATTACAGTAACTCCACGATATTTCGATGCCCCATGTTTTTCTCTGGAGATTTTTAATTAGCACTTTTCCTGTTAAATGTCTGCTTACTGTACCTAGGATTTTTGTTTCCTTTTATTTGTGTCTCAGATTTTGTACAGGATTCTGATAATCTTGAACCATAATGGTGCGTACTCTATAATTCACAAGTGTTATAAGAAAAAAACAATGTCCTAATCATTTTTAAAGTGTTAATGTTTTTATTTTTCTTTTCAATTCGGATTGAATAGAAAGGAGTTTTCATTTTTCAGAGTATCATAAGAGATATATTTCAATTAAACATTTTCATATTTTTACTTTCGTTTAGGTAACGTTGGAACGTGTACTTGGAGTAACGGTGAAAGATGGATCAGCCCTTGCTTGCGATCCAAACACAGGTCTTATTGCCTATCCGGCCGGGTAAGTTCAGATCAGCTGTTACTTATTCAGTAGCACAAACCATTTTATTTAATAAGCCTGTTGAATACTTTTTATGTAGACAATGAGTATTAATATGTAAATTGACATGGCAGTATGGCCTTTATATACTGTAACTATATCCTGCCAGATGCAGCAGAATGCAGGCATCCCAGGCTGGTTAATGATTGCTAGTTCATCAGGGTAGCCTTCAACTAAAATGGGTTCTGTCAAAAAACAGTCTGCCTACTGTCAAAAGTTTATAAAGCATACAACTGCATTCATATCAGATCCGAACCAAAATTCAGACCTCGTTTCTCATGCACTGAATGCCAGCGTTCTTATTCTTACACATTGATCCAATTTTATAGTCACTTCGGTGGGCTTTCTGATTAAAAAATTTGGATTCGGTGTGAATGTACTTTACTGAACATACAGTATTAATATGCCTGTTATAGTACAGTAGTCCTGCTTAATGCAAGTCAATAGAGAACGTTTTGTAAATATTTTTAAAAATTCTACCTTTGTGCACTGTATTGTGTATAAAACAACATTATTTATCATATCATAAAAGAAAGAAAACATATTGATTTAATTATTATGTTTAATTATTGTCAAATAATAATTTGTTTTGTTGTTCTATTAATATTATTATTGTACATAATAGATGATGTAGGCCAACTATAGGAACATCGTGTACTGTAAGAATAGACCACTGTCACTGGTGACAAGGGGCTTAGAAAGAAAAACAAATAGGCCGGCCAAAATGAAGCCAGTGGGTGTGGCACTGAGCCGATGGGCGGGCCACACCCATCTTTGGGAATCCCCATTGAATATTGGTGCGAAAACAACGTACATTCAATCAATAAATGTTGTTTTCATCCAACGTGAATATAATTTAGCCAAATAGTTTAATGTAACATTTGATAGATTTGAAGAATATTAAGAATTTTCTAAAGGTATACCAGGCCCAATTAGGCTAGGCCGAGATGATTAGGACAAGCCATCCAAGCCGTCACGGTAAAAGTGGCCGTCCCATAATAGTTGGCCGTCCAAAAGATGGCCGGACGGCTCTATGTGTTCCTGGTCAAACTATTTAAGCATAAGTCTGTTTAAAGGTAAGTGAAACAACACCGATAAACAACAATAAATTCTTATTAAACATTAAACAAAGATATTGCATACAGTATTTAAATTAACAGCTACTGTTCTTCTGTTCTTTTTTTTTAATTGATTTCCTGTGGCAATTACTAACTTATCTGAGATTAATCAGTGTCCCTTTAGTTTAAATAATGCTTTCATCTTGCAAAGAAGATCTTTGGCATGAGACGCAGTATACAATAGCCAGTGACAGATTGTAATAATAGGAATTACCTATGAATTATCTAATATAATGGACATTTAATCTGAAATCTAAAAGCTCTATTCATAATAGTCGGCCACTCTAGTCTTACCATTCCTAACTAGCATTCAAACACTGTCTTTGGCTATAGTATAAGAGGACAAGTCCAAGGCCCCATGAAGCAGTTTACTTGTTAGTACCTGAATACTACTAATATTCAATAAGGGTCATCATGGCCTGGCTAAAGTTCAGTTTGGTCTTGTACACAAGGCTCTGTCCACTCAAAATGACCACTCCAACTTCATGTATTCTGCAAGCTTGGATTTGTTGTCATGGGAACCAGCTACCCTTGGACAGATAATCAGTACTGATTGAAGGCCAACACAAATTTAGCATTTCTTCCCAAAAGGAGTGCTGGCATTAGAGTATACTGTAGGATAAGCTAAGTGGATAAGCTAAACAGTAAACTGTTCCAAGAGAATTACATTCATAAGTAAATAGCATATTTTGTATCATAATGTTTTTAGCTAGCAATTGTAAAGAAAACAATCGTCTTGAACACCATCTGACGCATAACAAAATATCCCCCTCTAAGGCTGGTAATAATATAAAAATGTGTCAAAAAAGGTTTTATAAATCTAAAATGAAAATAAAATGTTTCAATATCATGTCTTTTTTGGAACTTGATAAGTCCCTACGATCCTGATTTATTGATTATTTAAAATTATAATTATACACAGTGTAGTTTTTCATCATCTATAATATTGTACTGTACCTTATATCTACTCACAATTTTGTTATTCAACAATATTCGAATGCTTTCATATGATTGTTCATTTTAGGAAAAACTAAATTATAAAATAATTATTCTACTGTGTATACTATGCACAGTAATAATAACCATCCTGCCTGCCTTCGTCCCCTGAGCACAAGTACAGTAGTTTTATCATAGTCATGTAGTTCACAACATTTTGAATTAGATTAGTCAAGTCTTAAGGATACCTGTACTTTTTCCATTTCTTACTGAATTTTTTTTATTAGTTTATCACCCTTGCTTCCATGTCTTCTATGGTACTGGAAAAAAAAAAAAAAATTTTCCCACACTTTTTAAAATTAAATAGTTAGTATATTGTTTATACTATCTCAATCATGTTTTACTTTGAGTATCAATGCACCAGCAAAATTAAAAATTAAAAAAAAACCTTTATCCCACATCACTTTTCCAGCCTGATAAACTAATAATATTTGTTATATATAGGGCCTAAAAGTCAAACCTATGAAACTGTTTCTGTAAAGGATGTATTTTTGTAGAAGGACCTGTTTAGTAGTATTCTTTGTTGATAGTAACCGTAGTTGTGTCATTAACTGTGAATACATGATGCACTGTTAGAAACTGTTTACCTTTTAAAGATTTGATTGTGTTTACTGACCTGAGCACAATAATCCTAAGATAGAAATACTATGAAAACTGTGGCTTACAGTAGCTCTGGAGGCACTCATCCATATCAACCACTTTGTAGGTACTTGCAGTTAACCAAGCCGTCACATGGATTTGTACTTTTAAATGATAGCAATGTAGATCAAGCTTGTATCCAGGAGGGTTCAAAGAACCCTTCTTTTCCAGAAATGCCCTTTAAAATCATTTAAAATTTAACCAAACCATTTTGGGGCAAAGAGGTGGATGTGGACTCAAAGTGCTCTTTTGTGAAGAATTAGACCCCTTCCCCTCCTTCTTTAAAAATCCTACATACAGGCTTGTAGATTTCAAATTGCTTTGGTCCTTGTTATTCCATACACCTGGCTTAAAAATTGTTAAAACAGAATTTTGCTATATTAATACATGTCTTCCTCCAATTAAATACCACTTTTGGGACCAAGGTTTTCATGGTGTTTAGCAGCCTTGCTCTTTTTAATTAGAAAAATTAATATAAAATTGAAAAATAGATGCTCATTTCATGGATTCATATACGTTACTCAGATTGAAATAAATTTCTTATTTATTGATAATAAATTGTAAAAAAAATTAAAAGAATCTTACAGAATTATATTGATTAATATATGTAATTTAAATTTTTCGATAGATGATTGTCAAACTTTGTAGTAAAAGAATAATTCCAACTAAAAGTTATTGATTAATTAATGATAGTGACATATTAATAAACAACAGCTGATTCAAATAGTGATATTCCATTTATACAAATTGTCTTAGATTTTAACTGCTATTGTGAATTTAATTTTAATAATGTAGGCCTATTGATCGTACAACTGTTGACTACAGTATAAAATGATAGATAGCGACACTAATTGTGTACAGTGGATACTTTACTTTTTATCCAAGTGCTGCCCTAGTTGCCCTTTTGTTTCATTTCAAACGTTAATCTGCCGATTTCAATTAAGTACTGAATAAAGTCCACAGTTGTCTGGGACCATGACAGATGATGTAGGTGATATAACTACAGTACAGTATTCGGTTTAATTTATGTGCTAATGTATTAAGGGGCCTAAAGGTTGTGTAGGACCATTACCTTGGACTGGCTTGTGGGCTGGTGTTTACTCCTGCCAAGTCTGCAAAACTGTCAAATGTCGAGATATAGAGTAGGACATGATATTATTTAGTCTTGGAACTCATTAGGAAACAAATGCATCACAAGTTCAATAGTTCACATAAACCGATTTGCAGTGACCATTTTTGTTTACCTGTATTCTTTACCGCCCTTGTTTACATTGTCTAATATTCAAACTACAATTTAGTACCAACAATATAAAGATCCCAACCAGATATTTTTACCAGTAACTGTTCATGTTTTAATTTAAAATTAATTTATGAATACTAGGTACTTATCCAAGTAAATAGTCAATGACAAATCATACATCAGATCAGACCATTACTGACAATCAAAAGACAGCACTACATAGAGTTTAGTCTACAATATGCGCTATATAAATCAACAATTATTATTATTATTACCACTAAAGCCTGGCGCTTATTCTTATAAACTATGTTCTGCAAACACTGGCAGGTACCCCATCCATTCTAGTACATACTTTGTATTGATTTTAAAGATGGATGTTGATTTCTATTGATTAAGCATTCATCACTCGGTAGGATGCCTTTTTGTTTTGATGTCTAACTGCATCATAATTAGTGATTTTTTTTATGCATATTGGGAGTATGAATACAATTTAGTGTTAGTTGATTTGATAAACTTAAACCTAAGGTTTAATTACCATTTTCAATCATTTAAAAATAAGTCCAACCTGCTAGTTCAAATAATATCCTGGGCATTTTATGCTGAAACACCGGTACTGTAACTTAAAATTGGGCATAAAACTGTCATTGAAATTATACCCGGGCTTATACCCAAGGAACTATGAAAATGTATTTAAGCTCAATTAAAAAACAGTAGTTTCTCCTGAAAAAAGAGAATTAGGGCATTCTTCTTTTTTTTTACTCCGAGATAGCAAATTCAAGATGGTCGATGGGAAACAGCTACCCTCTCACTTTTATTTACCAAGTAGACACATTGAAAGCAAACAAAAAAGCACTATATGATCTGACATGATTCATACCATCTATTTCCAACCATAAACGATCGAGAGAGGAATTTTACTGATTTTTCATACATTTGTAAAATAAATGAAATTGAAATAATAAATTAAA